TTGCCAAAGTCACTTATGGTTATTGAGGATGATTTTTTCTATCCATTTTCTGCACAAGCTTTGGGTAATATTATCTTCAGTTCTTTGCCAACTTATTTTGGTGCACTGCAAAAATTTTACTTGAGCCAGCTTTGATTGAGGAATTCCGCAATATTCTCCTCAGCCAAGAAAACCTTGTGAAGATGAGCAGCTGACAAGAGAAGGTCTGTTGGTGGTGCTTGCTGATTTTGTTGTGCTAATGTTGGGCAAGCCATGATTTTTAAATTGGATCTGTATCCAAAGTCCAAAGAATTATCAAAAATAATATCACAGATTACCTCAAACAAGAACATCTGGGTGGAGAAATTGCATTATGAAATTTTTGCTGTTTATGGCAAGACAAATATTTCTGATGGGGAGCTATGTGATTTTTTTTCTTTACAATGTTTGAATGTGGCCAGAAAAAAATTGAGCTGAGGAAATAAATTTATGATTTTAAAAATATGATTACGTTATTAATATTCTGGTTGTAACAAAATGTTCTTTGCTGTTTCCCTGGAAATCTGTTTTAATGATTGCACCCCTAAGAAATTCTGACGGGTCTGGAAATTATTTCACTGCTGCCTTAAATAACTTCTGTTGGTAGAATGTTTGCAGTGTGTAAATAACTGATGATATTGGACCTTTGGCAAAAATTACAGTCTTTCAAACATGCATTGTGTCTATTAATGCAATTTCTGACAAAAATTTGAAAAATAAAGGTAATTTTAGTTTAATATTTTTTTTCTGGAACGAATTAATTTTTTTTTAATGTAACCTTAAGGGAAATAGGGTTTCAACTTACGACGGCCCTGACGGGTCTGGCAATTATTTCATGGCTGCCTTAAATAACTTCTGTTGGTAGAATGTTTGCAGTGTGTAAATAACTGATGATATTGGACCTTTAGCAAAAATTACAGTCTTTCAAACATGCCTTGTGTCTATTAATGCAATTTCTGCCAAAAAGTTGAAAAATAAAGGTAATTTTAGTTTAATATTTTTTTTCTGGAACGAATTAATGTTTTTATAATGTAACCTTAAGGAAAATAGGGTTTCAACTTACGACAGCCCCATGTTATGACATCCATCCTGGAACGGATTGATGACGTAAGATGGGGGCCCACTGTACTTCTCTACTGTACAGCAGCCAAAAATCACTCACACATTATTTTTCGAACGGCTATTATATATACAGCTTCATAATTTTCCAAATGAATAAAAAACAAGCAGAGAATTCACTAAATGCACTTTTACCACGCATAAGCCGATATACAGTACATATACTTTACAGTATACATATGTACTGTATATAGACGCTTATGCAAGATCCGCACAAACTGTCCGCATTGGATCGAGACTATCTCATCGACTCGTTGTACTTCTCTACTGTACAGCAGCCAAAAATCACTCACACATTATTTTTCGAACGGCTATTATATATACAGCTTCATAATTTTCCAAATGAATAAAAAACAAGCAGAGAATTCACTAAATGCACTTTCATACAAAGCATCCGTGATTCATGAGAGGCATGCCTTTTCGAAGTTCGAAGATTTATTGATGGCTTCAATTAGCTGTCCGCCATATAATACAGGTGCTGCGCGCCAACTATACTATGCATACACGAGCTTCAAGGCGAAGACACCGCCGGACTTCTTCAGCATATCAGCTCACCTCCATAATTCATTAAAGCCATCCTGCAGTAATTATTGCAGGCGAGATTATTATTGAAGTGTAGGCGAGAACTCTCTTAAGAGTTCTCGCCTACACTTCTGTAAAACGTATTTCATAAGGTATAATGCTCCGGATGATATCTGATGAAGATGACATCCGATGATTGACTTTGTGGTGAGGTACAGGCTCGATTTCTTTCTTCCATTTTTTTTCATACGATGAACATAATTATATGAATAAATGACGCGACAAAACCACCACTCATTATTCGTCCTGTATTTTTGTACAGGCAGACCATATAGTACTATGAATACGGTATAAACAAATGAATGTCGCTCATATGCATGTTCAACACAAATCTAGAGTTTTTCTTTAGGTTATAATTTCATTCTAGAAGATATACGCGGACGACCAGCAGCACGAACCAGCCTTTTCAAACACCCCTCCTCCAAAATAAAAGTATCCTACTATACTATCAAGTTTTGGGGGATATAACACAATAATGTAATCAATGCTTCAGAAAAATGAACAAATAGATTTTTGCAACAATGCAAATTCAGTACTGAATACAAGCAACCCAGAATTCTTCTTAAGCATTTTGTTTCTAGGAGCACTCGTTGTCAAGATGAGCCTGTCACAGCATTGACTCATACTGTACCACGAAGATATTTTTGTAGCATTTACTTTACAAGCTCTATACCTCCACAACATTATGACAGAGCGTGTCATATGACAGAGCCTGTCATGGGGATTTTTGCTTGTATGATGGTGTATCCAAATGGAGAACCCAGAAGGAGAAAATGGTCATACAGTGAGACCCGCCCCAGATGTGGACATACCCGTGCATCAATAAGAGTGTCCCTAAGTCAAGTTTTGTTTTCCCATAGACTTACATTATATAATTTCTAATTGGTGTTTTATGACAGAAATATTCTTTAGAAATCCATGAAAATTTTTTGCCACTTAAATTTGATTCAGTGAATATCTTTTCAACCCAATAAGAACATTTGGAGCATTGAATATCACTGTACATCAGTTCATTGAAATGTTGGCATCTGTAAAAATAACGTCCAAGTCACAAGAAGAGAAGGAAGATCTTACATAGATCTTAGGGTTGGAAATATCTGTTTCTTGCAATATAATTAAGCCTATTAAAAGTCAATTTTCTTAAAATTTATAAGCAATTTTATCATGCAATGTCCTTATATTGAGTCACTGCCCCCATGTTGGGACTTTTTTATGATTTTTTTATTGAAAAATAAATGTCCCTATGTCGTATTGTCCCCATGTCAAGATGTCCGCATGTGGGGGTCTCACTGTATTCCAATTACAGTAGTTATAGCTCACCACGGATCAGAATCACATTTTCAGTGTGAAATACGGCTTTCGTATGGAATGAACTACTGAAGTGAATGAGGCCAATTTATATTCAAACGTAATTTTTGCATGAAATCTCTCAATCTCGAGCGTATTGCGAATACTGCTCCGCTTCAGAACGGAAGAATAACGACGAAGTCAAACAAGGGATTCGGCTGGACTGTACGCAATCCACTTACTCGCGACATCATCAATGTGAACCCCGTGTTCAAACCGTCAAATAAAGCGGAAATCTACGGTTATTAAAGGAATGTTGCATTGATGCTGCGTTCCGTGCGTGAAATCACGAGTCCACCGTAACGACTTCCAAAACGCCGGACACGCTTTGTTTTCGAAAGAAAAATACTGTACACGCATGGAGAGAAAAATTAGTAACGCGGCGTTTCATAACATGTTATTAAGGGAGTTCGTCCATTACGGAGAGTTTAGCAGTGTCACGTAACGGTGGTTATAAAGCGCGTTTCAATGCGCAACACCTCCACTGAAATGCTTTCTGCAACACGTCAACAATATTTACCAATCCGTGATTTGAAGCATGGGAAAATAACTCGCAAACCATCAGGAATCCAACAGTTTTAATACTCGCTTTATAAGACTACAGTTCCCGCAATCGACGGAATACATGCCTGATCGGAATCAAACAAGAACCTGAGAGCGAAGATAATCCCGAAGATTTCCCATTGTGCGATCGTCGAAGAAATATGACAAATAAACGAGACCACTGCAAAAGAAGGAATTCTGACATATTCGGATTTCTAGAGCACCGTTAATCTTCAATTTGGTTCGTAGAATTTCGTTCTGTTCCATCGATAGTCTTGAAAGCAAGCTCATTGGTTAAAATCGCGGTCAGCTCGAGTACTTTTTGATCAATCCTGTTAAGGGTCCAACTTGAATTTGGATCGAATGTGTTGCTTAGTAAGATAAGTTCTGAATTAGGGTTTTGTTTTAGAAATCTGGAGAAAACATAAGATTCTTTCGCAAATCGTCAACGAGTCTAGAATGAATTGCCGTATTCACGCAAATAGAAGACGCAATCGATTTTAGGACGCACTCCAAATTCTCAACATTCGACCTGAGAAACGTTTGTTGGCAATTAAAAGATCCACTGTCAAAAACTTCATTACGCGCTAGTAACACTCCTTCACGAAAAGTTTTTTTTCACAAGAAATAAAGATCTCCTGCATACAGAAAATTAACTCTAAATGAAGGCTGATTAATAATCTGTCAATCAAATTCAACCTTGAGAAAATTTTTCCGAACATGATGATTCAATGAATTGAATATGAAGAGATTTAAAAAATAATTTTTAAGGCTTGCACTTCTCTCATTCGCACAGTAGACCGTGTGGTCAGTCGAACGTACAGTATAATATTTACTTCAGATCATCTTCTACGCGATGTAAGCTAGTCAGATGCAGAAATATGTTGAGAGCTGGGAGAAATATACCAATTTTCGAAGTTTCACATGATTGAACCAGCCAATTAAATAGCAATTTGCATGTAAATCTAAGACGCCATCAACGGTATGATTTATGAACAATCGAAAAACTTGCGTTTTATATTTGCGGCAAATACGGTGTTACCTCTTTCTCTGGATCTCAACATGAAATACGAATACGACCTCGTGGAAGAAAGTGAAAAAGTACTGAAAATCAGGGCAAACGACGATCGAAACTTGTTCCGCTGATATCTGCTCAAACTGCGACCATCGGAAATCCATATAAAATGCATATAAGCTGAACTACGGAATGCGGATCCAAGGGTTTCCACAAATCGGATGGATTCCAGCATAAAAGCAGCTTCTATCACGTCTTTATCACAAAATAAACAGGAAGTAATTCATTAAGCAGGCAAGCCCAACGTAATGTTCAAACCAGCACATCTTGGAAAAAATATACGAAAACTTCCCAAAATATTCCCGAACACTCCTTCAAAAAAAAAAAAAAATCACTTGAGCTTCTTTCAGCGTCAAGCTCCAATTCAGTCACCAAGATATTAAAATCGTACTGGCAAGAAATCCGAAGCTTGAGGTGATCGGAAATTTTTTTCCAAGATGCATTGATTTAAAACAATCCAATTACAGCCCACTCAACGCATAACCGAAGCTGTTCGCTGATTTGTTTTCTCTATAAACGGGAAACCGAAGTTCGATGATCAATAAAATTTTGTCCACAGCTCTCCTTCACGCTTCGCACAGATCATTTTTAGTCACCCTTCGTTGTGTTAAATCATTACAGTGCGTTCTTTTCTTCAGCTAGTCCTCTAGCAACTCCTCAATCCGGCCTCTTGCTGACATCTCAACTACTTCCAAGCTGCGCACGTCCAGCTCTTTCAGCAGGCACAAAACGGCTGACAGGATGTTGGACGACTGAAAAGGAAAAATAAATTATTTTAATATTTCTTGAAGTTAGAAGGGAGGACAAGGTGATTTGTGATACGTAGAAAAATAATGTGAACTCATAAAGATGCTCTGTTTTCTTTCAACTCCCCCTGATTTTTTTACACTTCCTTCCCGAGCTGAACTCCAGAGACACTTAATCAATTTTAAAGTACTGCTTCTTTAGTTTTCCAATTGATGTACAGAAAAATGGATGATTAGTACTTCAAGCTTCAACAATAAAACATAAAATGAAAAACATGCGTAAATCGGAGAGTTCAGCAGCTCAAATCAAAACCACACGAATAATTTTGTTTCCTGTCAGTAAAAATAAGTACGGGGATTGCCAATGACAAAAAACCCAATAAGAGCTTGGATTATTTGCTGTAAACTGCGCCACTGTTAAACCCTGTAATAATTCTCCCGATATGATACGAAGGCAATCTTCAATGAAATCAAACGGACTTTTCACAAACGCTCAATTCTTCACGGTCCGCTGATTTTTACGAATAAATCGCATCGAATATACAGTACCCAGAACAATTTCCGCGGACGACGGAAGGAAATGATTCATGAGTCCTGCATTTTACTTTTTAACGTCCAACGACTTTCTGGTACTTACACGGTGCTTCTGACGCGGGGCGAAATTGCGGGTCGGAGAAGTGTTGACATTACGGAATGGTTCAATCTGTTCAACAGACTGCTGATGGTACGCCTCCGACTGTCTCCTCAGCTCTTCCTGTCGACGCATTTCCTCCAGCTGTTGCTGCTGACGCTGTTGCATCTGGAGCAGGTTGTACTCGGGAGAGAAGTCCACCTGTGCATCGTAATATTAGCAATAAAATATATATACAGTACAGTATATATCCCTCTCCAGAAGAGAAGAATGATAAAGTATACAGTAAAATCTTGTTAAAACAAACTTTTGGGGACTTCATAAAGAGTTCGTTATACTGAATGATTTATTAAAAGAATTTCGAAATTTATGAGTGGACAAAAATTTTCACCGGATACCTGTTCATAATCGATTAGATTTTGCTTTTCTGGCATTCTCAGATGTTCTATTATTGTTAGAAAAAATGAGTGACATTCTTCAAAAAAAAAAAAAACCCTCGATCATCAGTTCACCACTCTCTTCATCCTGGGTGGAAGATGCGTGGAACCATTTGGAAGCATGTTTGTCATTGATTACTGCTTCCATCCATGCTACAAGAATCGGTCACATTTGGGATTGGAAATTTCAAACTGTGCCTGTCTTCTCAGGAAATTTTTACCGGGAGAATCTATTAAACATTCCTCAAAACTGTTCGATGTACTGAGCTTGGGAAGTTTGTTGTGAAGAAATTTTTTCAACTGAAATATTTGTTGTAATGGTATTTCATGTAACGAGACTTCACCGTACAATATTACTGTTCCGCCGCTTTTTTCGATTCTTCGCAGCACTTCCAGATCGTACTGATACAAATGCCGTTTAAATGCGAGTGCGGCCCAAACGCACTCAGAAACAGCAACAATTTATAATTATTCACCTGATATGGAGGAGAGAACTCTTCCGGCAACCTCTGCGGCGGTTCCTCAATCACGGATGGCCGCCTAACCCCGTAAGACGCCATTCTTTGGTTTTCATACGAGACTGGAGCTTCGATCTGCGAATGCCTTCGCACCCCGTACAGTCCATCACCGCCGCCAGCGTCACACTGACTCGGTTTTCGCGACGGCGGCGCACTTGCGGACGCAGGACGTCTCGGAGAGACGATTTCCTCGTATTCGTAAGACTCCATGGAAGGAGCTGGACTCTCGTAGTGCTGACGGGAGATAAGTCACACATTTTCCATGAAAATATAAAAATAACGTTAGCGGACAAAATTGAAAAATGGCAAGGTAATGAAAAATGCACAATATGCAAAAGCAGAAATTTTAAAAGATAGTCGAATCTGAACATCCTTATTTTTAATTTTGAAATTTAAATGCACAAAATTACGATCTTCTAAACTGATCAACGTACCAGAATTTTACGCCATATTCAAAACGCCTCTTACATTTGTCAATTAAACAACGTAAACTTGACTGATTTGCTGCCTTTTTCGGTTCATTAGATTTTCATTAACTTCTGAAGCCCTCAATTTATCTTGATAAAAAAACTTCTCGAAGATTTCCATTTGAACATATTTTTGAATTAAATTACTGCACGATGAGCCTTTTTCCCAGTCATCAAAGCCACTCTTTCCTCTTGGATAGCAAACCTTTCCAAAATTTTGGTATGAACGATTTGTTACGATCATGTCATCTCTTGCTTCTCTTTCACTTCTTGAGGCGCTTTTAATCGACTGACCTGTCAAGAATTCCGAATTGAACAGTCTCGCTTTATTTATTGCACACCTCTAACCCAAGACCCGGGTCAGAATAATCGACCAAGCATTCTAAAGGAGGAAATACTTTCAATCTGTCTCAGATGACAGCTGATGAATTTATGAAGCTTCCCGGAAACTTCCGATAACATAACTGTACGTAAAAAAGGTTAGTTCGGTTAATCAAGCTAATCAGAATCGAATTTTCGCATTATGACCCAGAAAATGTGTAAAGCACTAGAACAAAGGCAGAAATTATAGAAACGCACTAAAAAGAAGCAAAGGTTCTAAACGGGCGGCGAAAATTTCTCAATTTTAAAAAGTATGCGAGATTTCTCCCAAATCTCGCGAATCCAAATTTTAAAATATCCCATCGCAGTTGCATGAGACTAATTATCTCGTCTGAAAAATTAAGATTGGCTAAAAAAACTTCTCGATTCTGCTATTGGGATGAAAAACAAGGAATAACCCGAATGGGGTTTGCCCGCCGAAAGAAGCATGCGAATTAGAAACGAATTTATTTCTTCCCCATTACCCATGAGCTAACTTCAGAGGATCGTTTATTACTGTTCGTAACTCAAGATCTTTGTAGTGGGATGAATTCTTTGTCACAAATCAAGAAGATATATAAAAAATTTACAATAAAATGTTCTCCGCGTGCAATAAAAATGCATCGGAGATTTTGTCACATATAAAAATAAATCTTAAAAATTCACTATGGAATATTCTGCGCCTGTTATTAAAATCCATCGGTGATTCGCGAGACTTTTAAAAATCTACTCGTACGCTTTCAGAGAAAATTCTTTCGCATTCCCTCATAATCAGCTAAAAATTCGAGAAGTGGAATTTCAGCGTTGTCCACTGACCAATCCTCTTCCGTTCAACGCGAATTATCGAACCAAAAATCTGAAATCTGCATCGACAAGAATTCTTGAAACAAGATCCTATGGACTCCCACAGCATCCACGCAAATCTCACTTTCTCACTCGCCAGACTGTCCTTCGACTCGGAAATGTGCAAGCGTTGCACAGTGGTTTCCGACACAAGCACAAGCTCTTTATCCTCCGCTATAGGCTGCTCAACAAGCGTGCCACCTCGTTTGCCCGAACTGGTCACTGAAGCAGGTTCTTTAGCTGCCGGTGATGGTGAATTGTTAGCCTAGCGAGTTAATAGCAATAAAAAGAAGAAACAGAAGCAGGGATAATCATGGTTAACAACTACACAACACCCAACAACAAACACAAAACGCGCAACAGAAAGATAAGAAATCTACGGAAGCAATTACCAGGTCAGAGAATTATTCACCCATGTTCCCAAGAAATTAAAACAAACAAAACAATTGATATACCGCACTCATTTCTTATTCTGCTCATACCGAGTATTTTTCCAAGTATAATCCAAGGGTGACGAGCGACATTCTGTCTAAAATCGCATCCTTTTTGCACATATCATTCTCCCGCAGCCAATTCAGTTAGTTGAACACCGTCAATGTAATTCCATCCTCATAAATATAGTATTCTCGCTGAACGAATTCATGGTCCTTTCAAACCTTTTATCATGGAATACATAATTCGTCATGATTTGCTTTTGAAGGATTTTTCAGAGAAAATGCACCTGTCAAAGCAAGCACTCATTTACTCCATTGAAATCGTAAATTAGCTCGCCCCATTTCACAATAAATTACGGTTGCGGATTACGACGAATGCGTATCATGAGGGAGAAATTTAAAAAAAATCAAAAGAAATAAAATTAAACTCGTACTTCTTTTGTATGAAAACTTCCTGGGGAAACACAAAGTCGAATAAGTTCACAGGCGAAGATTTGCGATTGCGCATAGGAAACTCGAGCGTTGTTAGATCCGGAGGACATAAATTAGTCACGAAGTTTCGCGAAATAAAGCTCAAAACTTTTCAGCAACACTGCAACTGGAACAAAACTTTTCAAGCAGCGAAAAGAAAGTGCTGAAAGTTCGGAAACAGCGTATCACACAAGAAAAGGCAGAAGTCGCTAATTACTCACTTGGTAGGCTTGTGGTGGAGAGACATAGGAATAACCACTTCCGGGTTGCCGTTCCAAAGGATGAATCAAATCCAAACCTCGATCGTGAGCTTCCCGTATCTCTTCCGGCTCTACGTCAACATTGTCCAATTTTTGAATTTGCGGCAAGTGCTTCAACACCGTCATCCTGTACCTAAAACGGCGATGAAATGAATAGAACAAAAGCTCTCAATCTTTAAATCAATTCAGATCAGCACAATTGTTGAAAATTTTTTTGAATCATCTCCAACCGATATTTAAAGATGGTCCTAGATAACTATCAAATCTAAAAAATTAAGACTTGTTTTGTTATACTGTACTACCACCGAATCTACAGAGAAAAAAAGGTCGGGAAAACTTCACGATCTGAATCACAGCATGATTGGTTTCTGCTTCTACTCGGGACAATTAAAGAAATTTTTGTCCATGTCTAAAAAATCGACCTACGATGGGTAAAATTTAAATCCAGCTTGGCTTGTCTTGGGTCGATCAAAACCCGCATTACAGTATCGTACATGTATTTTGATGCGTCGGCTTTCTCGACCTTATACGGGGGTTGTCCCACTTCTACTTGGCTTTGAGTAGGTACCACTGTATGAAAAAATATTTGATGTAGCCCATGAAATAGTAGGGTTCTGGGATTTTTTCAGATTTTTAGAAACGTTTTTAGATTTATTGCATGATGACAAGAGTGACCTTTCCAGTTCCGGTGAGAGATCTCCAATCATTTTACAAGCTGTTGAAACCTTTTCAGGCCAGACGAATAATTGAAAATTTCAGGTTTGTTTTTAGCGTGAACAGTTATAACAGTCGACAGTTATAAAAAAAAAATAAAGTACTTACATTTCGTGGTCAGCGCAGGGATTATCTGCAAGCCACAAACATTTGAGCTTCCTGAGGTCTTTGAGGTAGCAAATCTCCGACAAATCATGTATATTGTTTTTCCGTATGTACAGTTCTTGCAAAACCTTGCAATTCTGCAAATCCGCCAGTGTGCTCAAGCTGTTCACGCTATAAAGAATACAAGACAAAAATAAGGGAATGTCATTATAATGGTTGCGAAAGGAAAGGGAACCAGGGTCTTCTCAGAAATTTCGTGCTTCACATGTCAACTGACCTCGGGATCAATTATCATATTCTTCATTGCTCTGGCGTACTTCAAAAAAAAATTCGAAACTACAGTACTTGTTACCTCCAAGCTTCGAAGTAGACAAGAATAAGGAATAAATTATGAAATTAGTTGAGTGGTCTCGAGACACTCAAGGGAAGTACAAATCGTTCTTCAACTTTTCGAGCATAATTTGGTGATCTTCAATCGCAATCTCAGTTTTGTCCAATTTCCTGATGCTTGACACGACCTCTACAAAAGGAATGATTGATAGAAAGATCAAAATGGAATTAAAAATTTTACGGAAAATAAACGAGACTTCCTCATTCTACACCAGAAACATGGCACAATTTGAAAGCAAGAACGGAATCATTAATACGAACGTGAAGGACTGAATGCGCTCTTCTTCAAACAGTTTTTTTTCCTTCAAATTTTGATTTTTCGTCTGCGAAACATTTCTGATGGTAAAAAGGAATCCCGCGTTATTCAAAAATGAAATGAAAATGCACCAGTTGCCGCTGACAAACTATCATCAATGCTGGTTGAAACGAAGCTTGCGAAATTTGTGAAAAAACCCTTGTGCTGTTCGAAGAAAACGCGAAGTGAGAGGACGTGAATCATAATTGAAAAAATATATTCATGATCTAAATAAATATTTCTTACCTGAGGGACAGCACTTCCAAACATGGCAGTTTCTTAACAATTGAGATATCAGTCAACTCTGAACCCCTGAAACAAACATAATTTGATAACGTAACCGGAGAAAATACACTTATTTAAAAAAAGTTACTTGCCAACAATTGAGCTTCCGAATCGTATCCAACTCCGCACCTCGACATCGAGCCAAAATCATTCCTTCCGTTAACTTTGTCATCGTTCGTCCCAGTTTCCCGAAGTATAACACCAATATTTTCAAAGTCGGAAAGGCAAGAACACCCGACTCCACATCACAACCAACTCGGAAACACGATTTGCTGGGCAAACCCAAAAGCTCCCAATTCACATTTGGCAGAAGAACAAAATAAAAAAAAACCGGATGAAAGAAGAAGGTTTGAGCCAAAAAGCACCTGCAAATGAATAGAATAATTGGAAATTAGTACACTTTTGGACATCGGATGAAATGACTTCATTCAAGGCACTGCTGATAACGAACTCATCTCCAAAATCCTTAAATTTCAACACCTAACCATATCACAAAAAACTCGATCCTTCCAAAAGATATCCCAAAATGAACTCCTGTAGTTTTACAGCATATCTCAAGTACAGACAAATTTTTTTTTAAATATGACATCATTTACTCACATAATCTTTTAACTGGCTTTATTACATACACGTTTTTTTTTTAAATATAGGAACAGCTCACAGAAACGCATCCAGTGATTTTTCTTCACGGCCAGGCGACACATCGTGAACATTTTTTCAACTCAACTCTACTGCACTTATTTCGCTCATCCAACAGCAAGAATTGAATTATACAATGCGATAGAGGCGCAAAATTTAGACTTGAAAACTGTTCTTTGAAGATAAGTTCGTTTCTCAAATAAGTCTCCAAGCCTCATAATATTTAAGAACAGGATAAAATATCAACGGGACAGAAAAACGAGACTTTATCACAGGAACTCCTTCAAGGAACACTTCAACTAAGCGAGAAAACAAAAATTGTAAAACCCTATTACGAAGATAGTGACGAAAGCTTCTTTATCCTTTCATGAACCTTCTCTTTTGCGAGTCGGTCATAATTGGACCTCAATTCGTCCAATGCAGGTTTATCTTCAGCGAATACTTCACCATTCGGTTCTTCCCAGTAGGTGTCGCTTTTCGGGATCCTGCGTTCTATTTCTTTGAAATAATGTTCGATCCTCAGCCGTATCGCGGTTTTCTCTCGCTTGTTTATCTATGAAATCAAAAAGCAAAATAAAATAAATCAAAGTTCGCTGAGCGGCAGGAGCCGGAAATATAATCAACTAAAAATCACAATCCGGGGATGATCGAAAAATCTGGACTCCAGCTGGAATAAATCGACTGTATTGTTTTCTCAACAGCAAGAAAGTTATGGATTGACTTGAAAATATCAGTGCTGCTCAGTAGAGAATAAGTAAGGCCTTCACAAATTTTAATAAATTTTCTCCGAGCGATAAATTCAATTGAAAAAAAAAAAGTTTCAAATAAAGTATTTCAGTACTCACGGAGATCATTCTTCGAGAAATATTTGCATGATAATTCTGCTAACAGTAATGTAACTCATCACAAAACTTCGGTTTACTTTCATTTCGACCGCTTGGAATACTCTTCAAATTTAACTTCCACGTGGGCAACTTTTTTTTCATCACTTAACATCTTCGAGGCGATCCCATCCACTGAAATTTTTCCTCGATTATTGCGAACATACATTGGTAGGAAAAAAATACTGTATATACGCAGTCTCAAAATTGAGAGAAAATCCCTCGTGGATCAGATCTGTTTTGGAAAACTTCACACGTTGATTTGGCCAGCTACGACAAAATATATTTTCACGTCGAAGTGCTTCCACATCGATACTCATTTTTCAAGATAAAAAAATTTACAGTACTTTCGCGCAAACAACACAACTAAATTAGTTTCCTGCATAGTACTACTGTACAGTACATCATTTCTACGAAACACTTCGGTTTAAATCCTCAAACATAGCTTACCGTAACGTAGGCAAGAAATTCTTTTCCCTCGAGTTCCAAATCAGGACCAGATATTTGTCCATCCCGAGGAAATTCCAAGGCATCTTCTGGGACGATAAAACCGAAATATCTCAACGCCAACCCAACATGCCATTTCTCAATCGTCCACTTATTGTCTCCGTGCACGGTAACAGGAAATACTCTTGTCGACAACTCTCTCAACGTCTGAAAAACGCGAAGACCAATTTTATTGATTGTACCGGGCGTAACTTCAAGAAAATCACGTTAGAGCTATCGTGTTTCGATAGTTCCCCCCCCCCTCTCCGACGAATATATTTTTTTGACGACACTGGTACAGTACTGAAATACGAACCATCGGAACGACGGGCGAGGATATATTCGCAGATTTCATTTCACTGATGTCTTTGCTTTCGTACTGGGCCAAATTTTCCGGCGTCACGTACACACCTTTGCCCAAATACAGCAATTCTTTGCGGGCGAAATGTGGTTTAACTTTGACGATCGATCCTTTGAGACCAAGACCTAATTCATAAGATAATATAATCATGAAACTGAATCCAACGAACTAAAAGAACCAAACACAAACCTTCAACATTTTCCGTCAGTAGGATTTCAATTGGATATTCTAGTCTATGGGTCAAATTGTCGACGGATTCGTATATCCTGTGCTTGTTCCTCAACATTTTTGGCCGCTCCGTTTTCAATTTGCTCAGATACGGTTCATATTTCCGTTTCAAAATCCAAGTCGACTGTGGAATGAACATACAGTAGTGTACTTCTAGCTTCGGTAAAAATTTCCTTCTATGGTGAATCTACATGCAGTAATTATTTCTTCAAATACATGGTGTCCAAAAGGAAACGTTTCAGAAAAGTTGATGTTTTTCTAATATCTTGTGGAATGCACGCAAATTTGCATCCCAACCAATTGTTGAAACGCAGAAACAGATGAGACTCGAGGGTAGATCAGCGTAAAATAGGAACATTCTACCAAAAAAGTCGCCATAATAATTTACACAACACGATCTTATATTGACAATGTTTTTGTCTGAAAAAGTAAAAATTTTGGTCACTCCGCAATAAAGAGAAATGAAGAAATAATTTCTTACCCGAATACTTCCATGATAATGGCTGATGGGCTTCAAGAATCTGGCCAAAGTCACTGTATTCATTTCGTCACGATCACTCTAATTACAGAATAAAACGAAGTTAGCAACGCAAAACAGACGCTCATCGTCAGAATTGGAAATGAGTGAAGGTGGTACCATCTTTCTTGCTACCGAACTTTTAGAAAACAGTTCGATGAGTTCGAGGTTGAAAACAAGGATTGAATGAATAATTTTTCAATCTCTTCACAAACATCAACGAAGTTGGGCAACGGAAAACAGTAATTTTGGAACTCGAATGGAACTCATATGTACATCACGCTGTCATCAGCACTAGTAGTACACAAAACGTCGAATAGAATATGGCAAACAAGAGAAAAAATAATTCAAAGACTCACTAATCACTCAAAACTGCATCCCCCAATACCCCAGAAACTCAAAGCTTTCTTCACGCTCTCCTCAATTTCCTGAGATCCACAAAATAATGAGAGAAAAAAAAAAAGAAAAATCGATTTTTCCACTTGAGGATACGCATTCAAGTTGTTTTCTGACCTCGTCGTTATACTGCGGTATGTTTCACGCGAACACTTAACAGCTCCTCCTTCACTTAATCGCTGTTGAAAAGGTTTTTTTCTTTTCTTGAAGTAACGTAGCAAAGTTTAGCGAGGGCGCTCAAAATGGGAAGCGGAGAATCGTCGGAGCGTAAAACAAATAAAAGGCTTGGAACAAGCCGAAGACGCGCTTCTCAGAAGCCGGGATTTCTCGTCCTTCCTGGGCAGGGAAACGCTCAGCAGAATTTCCACCTGTTCCCGCATTCGTTGCACAGAACGAAAGTTGTCATCGGTTCATCAGCCGACCGTGTTTGAATTTGATTATAGGTGCAGTTCCTCTTCTTGCACTTGCCGCATTTCAGTAAATCCGTTTTTGTGCCTTGATTCTGAACAAACATAAGAACAGAAAACGAAGTAAAAACAATGTCCGTTGCCAAAGAAAAGCATTCGAGAACACAGCAAAAACCCACAATTTCAAACGGAACTTCGGAGTTGGAGCAACTTAAAGACGGCCAATTTCAAATATTACAACTATTTCATACAAATATCAATGGTCCTAGCAACAGATACTGTATTATAAATTCCCTAAAATGAAAATAAATTGTGGTTACGGAAAAAAATTTCGAGCACTTAACAGAAATTCACAAAAAAATTTCAAGCCTCCCGGTTATCGAATTTCATATGGAAGGATACAATACTTCGCTCCAATGACTCCCGCGTCTTCACAGACTTAGACAAGAATCCATAAAAAAAAACTAATCAGAAGGTTTACATACTTTACGCCACAGCATCTGGATAACAAGGTCATACTCACAGTAGTCAGCTGAGCATCATCGATTCCTTCTTTGACGAACTTCTGTCTCACGGCCCTCATCTCATCGCTAGCCATTTCCTCCGGGGTCATGACTGCCAATTTCCGAGGCGTGATTATGCCTCTCATGTAATTACCCTTCAACATCGGATTCTTTGCATCTTTCAAATTCATCATCCTGCTCCTTACGCGGTTTTTGTACTTCATATCAGTGTTCCGGAATTCCTGAAACATGAAAACAAGCACATGCAGATGCTCAATGAGAATTCTGAGCCTTTATCACCGAATGAATCCAACGGTTTCAATACTTTCCACGCATGATCGTCTTCAAAACGGAGAAACGCAACATACGCGAACAAGTGAGGACTTCGCAGATACGCGAAATTTATTAGCTAATATATCACAGGATACTCAAGCGATGCTTACATCGAAAATGGCCTGCTCTAAATCCGCAGCTTTTTCTTCCGGCGAAGCCATAACATCCTCTATATCCTCGCCGCGTAGAACTCCTGTTAACATTTCCCGGCATTTCAACCGAACACTGTCAGTTGTCACAGGCCTCGGCGGAAAAGAAACTTCTTTTTCACCCCGCGAAAGCGCCGGGCCGGATTCCGATTTTCCACCGTTGCTCTCGGCGTCTTTTTCTTTTTCGGCGCCATCCCGTGAATTTTCTTCGCTGATGCACCCAGGTGCTGCATTAACGCTGTCTTTCGATCCTGAAGGAGCCAAAAATTTTTTCCAGTCCTTTATGATGGTCTTTGCAGTGGCAACTACGGCATCGTCGCCGACGTTCTTCCGCAGCGCGTTGACAGTCATTCCTATGCGAGTTTTCGTCAGCACTTCCAATGTAATCGGCATCTCTTGAAGCTTCTTCAGCATGTCCAGCGTAGAATCACTATTCTTCCCGCCTTTCATAGCCTTCTCCAATTTCTTCTTAATCCGTAATACTTCATCTTCGATATCCATCATGACACCGGTTTCACTGAATTCACCTGAATAATTCCGGAACGATCAACGGCCGAGCGATACTGCTCACTGTTGTATGCCCAAGCTTCTGATCCAAGGGCGCTGCCATACTGTCATGCAGAAATGACATCTACAAGCTTCCAGGATTATGTTCTTGGGTGGTGTAGTTTCTCGCCGGAGCAGAACTCTTGGTCAGCCAAACTCTAAGCCACTGCACCCCCCATCCCCTCACTCCCTATTCTCTTCATTCTCTCTTTTACGCACACCAGTGACAGACTTGAGGGTTTGCTTGCGGGGCATGCGCCTTGAAAGCAGTGGGAGGGTTTCCTGTACCGGTGGGTTGGGATGGTGATGGGTGTTACATCTGTGGGTAGATGTTGGTTTCGGCTGGGCTTCGAAGTGCTGTTGTTAGCTTGCTGCTTAGCTGTCAGACCTTTTGTATGTGCGTGAAGTAGTTCTGAAATGTGAACAGCCATGGGTTTGTGCTGGGGATTGAAGATCAACGCTTTTTTGGTGCTCATTGGGATGATCTTGATGGGCAGCACGGAAGCTGGAGAAAGTGAGTACCGCAATGGTTGATCACCGAACTTCTTCGATCAAGAGGATGTGTACGGAAAGGCTACTGTATATGTGAGCCGTCGTCATTCCCGAATTTTGCAATTTTGTTGTGAAACTTTTAGACTAGGTTTTGTTTGAACAATATGACTATATTTCCAGCAATTTTCTGCTTTCTAAAACGCAGCGAATTGCAGTTCAAATTTCTTTATATCTCAATCTGAGGCATCGTCCAGAAAAATTAACACTCATCATACTAAAAAACTTCGCCGACCATTGAATTACAGTACCTGTATTACACTTGAATTTCACGATTTTTTGTGGGTGCCTTTTTCCCTTGTTTCTTGAAGCACATCTGTGACATCGGACGAATTATTCTCTTATCTCTTTATTATATACACTGTTATCACATGTTTTGCTGATATTTTTGGCATTTTGAATACTCCACACTGCATGCATGGCACTATACACGATAATGTGATGCTGGTCGCACATCTCGTCACGAAGTATAATTGCGCGAATGAAACTTTTAATTTTTGATTGAATACGTGATCTATAATTTTATTAAAACCCAAACGAAGCTGTGTTATTGTTTCCCAAATCTACTCGAGAATTTTTTCCGTTATTAATGTCGTATACACCATACAGTATCACGAACGAAGGTACGATGCAGCTTCGCTCAGCAATTATCATTACTTTAATTTTCCTTGAAAGCTTATGCGTGAGAAGAGTTTGTCAATTGTGGTCAACGGTGCTTATTATTGCTTCCGAATTATTTATATACTGTATTGATCAAAATTGACGGTTTCGGTTCATTTTCCGAGTGAAGTAAACAGTTTTTTATGATATGCTGATCCTCTGTTCGTTAGTATATCAACTTCGAACAGTTGAACAAAGCTTTTTGAGCCTCATGTTATTGTAGGATAATGAATCCCATCAAAATGCTTTTGTTGCATCGAAGAAGGTGAATCTTGTTGGAATTGCAAAAATTGCTTGTCTGTGGATGAGTAGGGTAATGTCGCGATGTTATGCTGTGTTCTATACATAAACCGAACATTTACATATTATACGCAACCTTGAAATAAAAGTTTCTTTCGAAATAATTTGGACATGCCGTGCATTAGAAAATTTGTACCACGGGTACATATAAAATCCTATAGTCTCGTCTGCTGAATGGGACATAATTCCACAACATCTATGTGATTTTCTATTTTTCTTGCGGATAATCTGATGATAGATCTTTTCTCCGATAATTAAGAAGCTGCCCCTTGTTTTGAACGATATTTGATGAAAGAATTACAATATCTGAATTGATCTTGGGGATATCATGTATTGTAACGTACTGTACCTCATTTTTCAGAAAAAGTCCATCTCAGATACGATGCGGACGTTGAATGAGGGACGTTGCCAAATATGTGTGTAATGTATATGATGTACACAGTCAAACCTCTCTAAGTTGAAGTTCAATAGGGACCAGCAAGTTTTTGAGTTAGAGAAATAAAAATTTATTGTTGCGGAAAGGAAGAAGATTTACAGAAATTGTAATTGATGGTGATATGCTGGGCCTTAAATTGCTATTCAAATGACTTGACAGCATGCTGAACTTGGAGGCAAGGGTTCATTTGCCCAATAGTCTTTCACTTCCTTTCAAAACACATCGTTACATTTTTAATGTGTGTCAATAAAATGATAGCTGAAAGGCATTTGAAAATTATCAGTTAGGGAGGTTTGAGGAGGAAAGCCATTGAGTTAGAGAGGTTTTGATGCATTATTGTTTCCGAGGGAATTCAGACGTGTAATTGAAAACAATTTGATTCGGGAAGGTTCAAAGTTACGGAAGTTCAGCTGCGTGTATCAACATTCATTTAATAACAAGTAGGTAGATGGGGATTCAGAAGCTTTTATTGACTCATCGTCAGGGGCAGCTTTGGTTTATGCGAGGAAGAGCCTATCATCATCATCCAGTAGCATAAGCTATTATGATTTTGCGCGAATGTTTTTTCTATGTATATTCTTCGAACGAAATTTTTCTTTCCAGCATTTACTGATTTATGGTCTCTCTCTCTTTTTTTCCGTCCTTCACCTCTTCCACTTCTTTTTTCCCCACGACTTTTATATAACACTCGTGGCTGTCTGAAACCCCGTGTGTGGCCCTATGTTGAAATTCGAACCCGTGCTCGTGGCTTGCGTTCTTTTATGGACCTCAACTGCCCTGCCGTTTCACCCTTGTCCTGCGTGTCCTGTTATACCATGCTCGTTGATGGGTTCCACACGAAAATGCCTGCTGATTGTCGCCGGCTGATGCTGCTGCTCCATTGATGTGCATCTTGCATATTTGCATTTCCTCTTGTTTCTGTCGGCTGCTTCTAACCTGTCAAACACTGCCAAAAACGTCCAGTTCCAACAGATCTCGTTGCAGGCGGGAATCCGTCGGCAAAGCGTCTGTATGAAGACCTTTTGTCTGACTACAACAGGCTAATCCGACCTGTTGCCAACATCACGCAGAAACTTACTGTACGCCTCAAGCTCAAACTCTCGCAGCTCATTGAAGTTGTGAGTATCTTTAATTTTTTTGTGTGCATGAAGTGTCCTGAATTTCATTTCAATCAAAGCGTATATATAATAAGACGAACTTGTATGAGTGGGGCCCGCGAGGTACGGACGTAAATTGTGCTTGATCTTGTCCCTATGTGTCAGAAGCTCAGAACATCCGCTTGTTGGATCAAATTATCCCTTGGACTTCAATGGCGATATCTTTAATTGGTTCTCCGCTGTTGGTCGAACATTAGGGAGAAATCACCAGAAAAATGGAATATTTTTTTCTCAACTGCAAGATGCCAAAAATAATCGCACAGAAGAAGACCATAGAAAATCTGTTTTTTATGGCATGAAAAAGAGCCCAAAAAGCATAGAAACGCAAGTATTCCTTTTGTGTGAACAGATGATGGCAAGAACGCTGAAAAAATAAGCACAAAATTAGCCTTTTTTGGATAAGGAATTACAGGGAATTTATGATGCAGTTCGAATAATTTTTCATATTTGTGAATATATTATAAAAAGCTCACTTTGCTGAAGAGATATCAACATTTTGAAACATGAAAGTTTTCCATTTTTCTAGAAATGTTTGTGAAGTGTGCATATCTCAAGACATTGTCTGGATGTTGAGGCACATTTTTTTTGGAGTTTCAAGTGTCCCTAATTTGAATTCTTTTTATGCTGGGGTGTCCGCATATGAGAAGGAATCGATTCCTTATTTATGAGTTCACGCTGTGTCTTTATTTTTCTTACAGAACTTGCGCAACCAGGTGATGAGGACGAATGTGTGGGTTGAACAGGTAAATATTCGCAATCATTTCTAACCTCTTATAGTACCACATGTCCCTCAATCTTGCAAACATGTAAATAATGAGTTAAACTAAAAAATGCTTTTTGCTGGCACAGTATTTTGAGAAATCGAATTCGACATAAATCTGACTTACAATTATGTCCAGCAGTTTCATAAAAGGTGTTCGAGAAACTCCGAAACGCTTCTTAATTTTTCGATCGAATGAACTTCACCGGGTGGATTTCAAAAGGAAGACATTTTTAGAATCCCACATTCGAAGAGCTTATATTAATATCCGAAGACATAACCAAACATGCTCTTTATCTGTCATTACAGAAATGGTATGACTACAAGTTGCGGTGGGACCCGGCTGAGTATGGCGGTGTCGAGATGTTGTACGTTCCTTCAGAACACATTTGGCTGCCAGATATTGTGCTGTTCAACAAGTGAGTTCAAGTGTTATTATGGTCATGAAATATTCTACAGTAAGCAACAAAAGCGCCATGTTCGACAAAAATCAAAGGGATTCTTTAAAAAATAAAATAAATGAAGGTGCACTGTTATTTACAGTATTATTGATCTCAATGTTTTTTTTAAGGATGAATGCGAACTCAAAAGTATGAGAGGTACCAACACAATAGTTGAGTACAGTACTGTACTGTTCAGAAAATTAAGAATGAGCAAAGATGCAAGATTTATGAAAATGCTTTTTGACGGGGCTGAAGAAAATTATTTTCAATCATGTGGAGGGAGTTCGTAGTTCAAAATCAGACATACCGTAATCTGCTGTGGAAATATATAAAAAGTTAATCGGACCTTTTCAAACCTCCCTTCTTGAAATTTTAATTGAATTCCCTTGAGACCAATGGATTTTAAACCTCCCTAACTGACTGAATTTTGGCTTTATATAGCACCTCTCTTATTCAAATTTGCCAAGGCATTTTTGTACAGTAATTATACTGAAGCTACATTTTTAAATAACTGCTCCAGAAGTATGAAGAAACGCTGCTAAGAATTAGTTTTTTGTAACGATTTTCCCAAGGCATCAGCTTGGGGAACTTTCTGCAGGGGGATGTTTATTTAAAAAAAAAAAATATTTTCAACAATCCTGCTGGAAAATTATTTTCCGTGATTATCCTATACACAAATCTTGTATAAAACAATAATTTTATATTATTACCTAATGAAAAAAGTAATTTTCGTTTGATGAATTTTGCAGTGCAGACGGAAACTACGAAGTGACTCTCATGACGAAGGCCACCTTGCGTTATGACGGCGAAGTGCTGTGGACGCCACCAGCAGTTTATCAATCATCCTGTGAGATGAACGTGGAATGGTTCCCCTTCGATGAGCAAAGCTGTGCCATGCGTTTCGGTTCCTGGACGTACGACGGATTTCAGGTGCAGTGAAGTCTCGCTACAACAGAACCAGCAAAAGTGGAACAAATGAAATACCACGTTAAAACGAAAAAAAAAATTATTATACAGTGGGGCCCTGAGATGCGGACGTAATTTGTTCTTGGACCTTTATTGCCCTTATGTCGGAGCATCCGTACGCTGCATCACGTTCTTTCTTTCTTAGATTTGAATGGGAATATATTTAATTTATTCTCCTCCGTTGATCAAAAATTAGGGGAAATTTCCCTAGAAATCGAATAAATTTGTCTTTTCAACTTGAAGATACCGGAAATTGTGCAGAAAAAAAACCATGCCTAATCTAATCTTCTGGCATGAAAAGGAGCCCGAAACCAACTAAGAAGCTCACGTATTTCTATATTTCGCTCAGATGATGTACGTTGTGTAGATATTTGCCCCAGTTAGCTTTTAAACTCAAATGAGATGGCCTTTCCCCCCAGAAATTTTTTCTAAAAAACTGAAGGGCGCGTCTCATGAATTACGCGATTCACAGTGCTTTAATTTTTTTTTCTTCAAAATTTGAGCTGAAAAAGAAAGGGGCGCGTCATTTGCTCGTAAGGGCATATGGTACTCGAGGAATAATAGTAATATGATTTATTCCTATTCATGTCCAGGTTGACTTGAAGCACATGGATCAAGCAAACGGCACAAACATGGTTGACATCGGAATCGACTTGCGGGAGTTCTACCTTTCCGTGGAATGGGATATTTTAGAGGTGCCAGCGAAGCGCAATGAAGAGTATTATCCGGAACCACCGAGACCCGGAGCAACCCCCGGTGCACAAGACGTTTCTAGACCATACCCAGGTGCTGCATTATTATTTGAATAAGTATCCTCTCGAATACGCGTTCACTCTTGTCAGGATGCTCGAAAAAGTACATTTTCCCTTTTATGGTCTCGCAATAATGTTGTATGGGTTGTCGGGCAGGCTTCGTTTAGATCCGAAACGTGACGGAATATTTCCCGACAAATCCTATATTCTGACCTAACGTGATACAAATAATTCGTGGTGACCTGATGTTGTCAAGCTTAAATTGACTTAAACGAGTGATAAGTTATACAATTATGCTGATTAACAGAGATCTACATCATTGAACAATGCCTTGGGGAATCCGAATGGCAACTTCGCAAAAAATAAAATAAATCGAATGGAATTGAAGATCAGAAATAGAAAAAGAGGCTGCTGAGCGAGTGCTTCTGCATTTACTGTACGAGTATATCCTGTGCACCTACTGATGAAAATTCAATTTTTGAAAGAAATTCCGCCGAATCGAAGGAAAAGCACATTAATCTTGACGTAATTCAGGAATGGTTGAGAAGGGTAAAACGCCTCTCTGGCGGGGCGAGCGATTGCACGGAATTATACTCAAATGATTTCGAAATGCATTTTGATTAATTTTGAATCCAATCGAAAACATCTTCACCAAGAGAACAGAGGTGGACTTTATAATGATCTTGGTGATTCCAAAAAGTTGAGAACCAACTGAACCAAAATAGCCGCGATGAAAGGATTGAATTATTGAGTGCACATCCAGCAAGCGACATCTATGTTACAGCGAATACAATAACCGAGCTGGGGACGTGAAAACGCAAAAAATAAGTGTACAGTGCAGTATTTTTAATTTATGCAGCAAAATCTGGAACGAGCTCAGCCGTCATTATGTTCGTTTTTTTCGTTTCTTCCCAGACATAACTTTTCACATCACGTTGCGAAGGAAGACGCTTTTCTACACTGTGAATCTGATCATCCCATGCGTTGGAATTTCTTTCCTGACCGTACTAGTGTTCTATTTGCCAGCCGATTCCGGGGAAAAGGTGATATATATTTCCAAAATCCTCGATTATATCTTGCTTTTGATCCGCATGTATCGATCTGCTAGCTGATCATTGCCGAAATTTTAGAAGGAGAAGAAAGGAACAGTCTTGCAATTATATTTTGTTTGCTGTCAAGGTTTCATTGTGCATTTCGGTGCTCGTGTCGCTGACTGTGTTCATATTGTTGCTGGCCGAGATCATCCCTCCGACATCATTGGCAGTGCCGCTCTTGGGGAAGTACCTTCTTTTCACGATGATCCTCGTCATGGTATCTGTCTACGTTACCGTCTACATCCTCAATATTCATTTCCGTCGCCCATGCACGCATCAGGTTAGTGAAAAAGGTGTCAGTTTTTTACCGAATTGTCACTCCTCTGCAATTACATATTTTTCTGCTGCGTATATATAGAAGCTGAGTTCTATTCAAAAATATCCAGCGCCGAACACAGTGTGGTTCAAACAGTTTCTCAGTGTAGCACAAATATTGACTGATGCCGTTATCATCAAATCAAGAGTTGAACGAATTGGAGCTTGTCCCGGAGTCGTCCCTTAAATGGGTGTTGAAATTACCGAGCTAAATATAATTCCAGAAAATTTTAAAACGTTGCGCTTTTTTTGTTGTTGCTAGAATTGCGTCGCTCTTGCATAGCATTTATTTTATTTTTTATTTTTTATCCCGCCCTGTTTTGGGGGTGCGCTCAATTTTTTCGATATACCGCTACCAGCATACGTTGAATCATTTTGTTATCAAGTGTGGAATATACAGTACTCATGATTCGTTTTTTTTTTCGCTTAGATGCCAGACTGGGTAAGGAAGTTATTCATCCAGATCATGCCGAGATTCCTGCTTATTAAACGACCAGAAGTTGGGCCTAAGAAAAAAGTGGACGATGAATTGAAGTACTTGAACTATGGGTACAACGAGTTCGAAAGCACGTAAGTTTGCACGGATTACAGGAAGCATTTCACTTGCAAATTTTTAATCTATAAATCTTCCCGTATATCAGCTTTTTCCGTGACTAGAATAATTGTCCGGATATCCGGAAGCTTTTTCAAGTTTTGAAAAAGTCCTGAATGTCGATCGAGGTTCCACTACTGTTCGTTTGTTAAATACGATTATCTGTTATATTCTGATCTATGATATTGTTTACTCCTTCGCATACATTTTTGAATAATTTTTTCGTGAACATTTTGCAGGAATAGTCGGAATAATGCGCTGCGCAAAAAATGATTGGAATGTTGACATTTTTCTGCAGCCCCATCTTTTGAAGAATCAGTCAATGCTGAGAAATGACGGTAATCACTCGTTTTTTGTTTGTTTTTGTTTTGCAGGAATCAACATCAAATTGACCCTTTCGGTCGACCAATTCGCAGTCCATTTGGCGACGGTCCTTCTTCAGCGGATGTCGTGTCGGGTTCTCCGCAAATGCACAGCACAGTTCGTGACGAGCTCTATGCACCGCACACGTCTGCTGGAAATGGTACATTACATTTTCCAATACTTCACTTATTCCTTCCCCATCTGACTTACTTATAAAAATATGTATCATTGTGTATCATGTTGTAAGAGGTTCCTGACACTATATAGTGAGACCTTCTGAAAAACCTTGACGAAGGTTTACTCAGTGCATCATCTCCACAACATGCTGTGTTGTTATTGTGGCCAAGATCTCCAAGTCTCAGTTTGGTTTTGTTCAACACACAAGTGTCTGAAGTTTTGACATTCATGCTCCCGTTTTTAGATTGGGAAAAGAAACACACCAGCACATTTTATGGTGGGTATATAAAGTTTTTCCATTTCCAGTTTTTCTCATCTAGTTATAGCCTTGTTTTCATAATTGTTTACTGCGCTGGTTTTGTGTATAGTTTCGTTTTTTATTCAAATATTTGATTTATTGTGTATTTGCAGAGTTTAATTGATTCTGAATTTGTTGAGGATTTTTATTTCTTGGTGACATATTCCGTATGGTCTGTTGCGTAAGTTGTTGCTCTTTTTTTTATTAAAAATTGTTTCGACTGTAAATATTGAATTCCGCGTGCAGTAATCGAGAAAAATTTACTGCACTGTTGCCTTTTGATCATTGATGGGAATTTCTACTCATGGCCTGACGGTGTGAAGAAATCAACCAGGTGTGAATCCAAATTTATGAATATCTACATCGCACTCTCTCACTCTCTATCTCTCTTTGAATGATCGTCGTCGAAATAAATGACTGATTTAGAGCATTTGGTATACCCAAGAAATGCGTCCCATTTCTACAATTAGAAAAAGCGGATTATGTTTAAAATTCAATTGCGTGCTATTTCCTTAACCGTGGTGAATTTACTCGATTGTTCTCTCCGGAATTTGTTGGGACATTATTCTTTTGTTTCCAGAGTATGCGAGCACCTCGATACGTCATCAGCGTAACTACGCACCGGATGTTTTAAGGGCTATCGAAGGAGTGCAGTTCATTGCTCAGCACATCAAGGATGACGATGAAGACAACGACGTGAGTCCAAATTTCAAAGTTGGTTTGACAACTTCGCGGCTTCAAAATAACAGCTCTGCATGATTTGGAGCAATTTTCGAGTGTCATTATTGTGTGTTTTATTGATTTTATCTTTCTTTTGTCAATAAAATGCTAGCCAAAAGGAGTGACGAATATTTGAGTTTTGAGGTGGCGAGAAGCCTTAGAGTTGGGTGGATTTCTAAAGCATATTGTTCTTGAGTGAATTCAGAGAGGCCGCGGGATTTAAAAAAAGAATCGAAAAACGGAGGTTTGAGCTATCGTGGTTCAACTGTGTTTCAAACCAAAGTTGCTGTGAAAAACACGATTTCACTCGACTTGTCCTGCGCTTTTGAATTTTGATATACAGCACAGTACATGTACTCTTTTTTTGGTGCAGGTTCAAGAGGACTGGAAGTACATTGCAATGGTCTTGGATCGGTTCTTCCTGTGGATCTTCACACTGGCTTGTGTCCTGGGCACGTGTGGCATCATTTTCCAGGCCCCTTCACTCTATGACAGGAGGAAGCCTATAGATGTAATCTTGTCTGAGATTGGTCGCTTTTACTAGTCAAAATACTGTATTTGTGCTTCTTTACGACGAGAAACTGGGTTTGACCTGAAGCAAGCTAGCGTACCCACCGCTTGCTCTCATGGTATATACACTTCATGCTGTGTTCATTGCTTCTTCCAATTCTTACGTTTTTTTAAAGACCCATGAGTGAGTGATTGCTCATGCATGTCCTATATACTGCTGTTGGTGATTCTATCGAAAATTTATAATAAGTAAAAAACCCCGCCGAGACGTGTGCTGCATGCTCAATAGCATATTCGGCGGCTTGGTGCTGATTGATTAGGACTAAAATGCGTTTGAAATTGAGGAGAAGTGTCGAGGAATTAAAAATGTAGATGAACAACTTATGTATATGTACTCTACGCAATCACTCTTTGCATGATGTTACTGTGTTATTCATGTGCTGAAAAACTTTGCTGGTGGGAAAGAAATGAGGAAAACTAATACGTCGAGGAACTCCCAATAATTTTCTTAAGCTTTTGAAGATGCTTGGTATAAGCTTCGCTGCAAGATTAATTTTTGGCAAGGCTCAGTAAGTGGAAAACAACTTGCAGCCAGACGCAGTGGCTCAGCTGCATTTGGTACATGATAAGACCTCTAGATTTTAATTTTATTATACTTAGGATTTCTTGCTGATCACCAGCATTGAGTGGCATGGAGAAAGCACTGCAGATTATATATGTCCTTGCTTGAAAGTATGAAATACTTCATTGCTTTGATTTGTTTCAGGAAACTGGTATGAAGGTTAACCCTTAGACAACTTTGGGACAATTTCTGTTGTGTGACAGTGCCAGGACATTTTTGCATGCTTGTGCATTTTGGTTTGATCAATGTTCACCAGAAGTTAGCTTTAGCTGCTGAGTAGCGCTGAAGTCCAGAAAAATCTGAGAAAGTGGAGCAAACTGTCTTTGAAATTCCTCAATGCTAATCCTATGGCAGGAATGTGGAAGAAAGCCAACCAGCAGCAGTAAATGTTATTTTTTTGAAAATGTTTCAGCTGAAAAGAAAACAAAATTGGGATTTTTCTGGTCTTTGGCTCTTCTGATCATGATAGGTTGTTATTAACATTTTTCCTTCATTGTAAATAAATATTGGCTCTACTGCTGCAGAAGTGTTAAAGAACTATTGATTCTTGACCCTTTTGCTGGGGGTATGAGTAAGAGGAACCCCTGCTTCTGCACTTAATTTATTTTGCTAATATTTCCTATTTTGTAATATGAACATAATGTGCTTCTATCAAAAGAATTGTCTTGTTATCAACAAATTTCCATATACAGGATATGCTTTACATATATATATTTCCCATAGACCTTGTCATAAAAGTTTCTGATGAAAACACCAATTGTACAAATAAAAGCAGTGACCCTGACTTGTTTTCTTCAAGGAAGTCTTATTTCAAAGATTCCTTGCAATTTATTCACTATACTTTGAGAAAGGGTTAACAATGTGGATGACCATATCCGATGAATGAATTAGACAGAAACAGAATGCAAGAAATTGAATGATTCCCCCCTGAAAGTAATGGTACGTCAGATGGTAAATTTCATGCAATTTATTTTTGAATTTATGAGGACGATGAGTAAACTGAGCCCTCGATTTTGCACAGTACGCGAAAAATACAAAGAATCCGCCAATAAATTATTCTCACGCATTAAAAAAAACTCCAGTTAGATGCAACGGAATGACATTGTTGTTGGATGAGGCGGCAACAAAGAAGAGAAACGCATATCCTAAAATGCTTCACACAATTTAACCGCGGATGCTTCCATAATTCCGTCAATTGATTAACTCATTTGGAGCTTTTCTTTGAATCTCTGTTGATCGTCAGCACTCTGCCAAAAGTCGTCGGCCTTTGTGGCTGCTGGAACCTCGAAAACTTTCCGGATGCATTTGGCCTCAGAAGTGCTGGAATAACTTGGGCAGGACCAACCTGTATATACATATACGAAATGACGTGCAGTTTAAGCAAACAAAAATGCAGTTACTGTCATGATAAAACCGCGAAACAACAAAATGCCGGGAATGAAAGGAAATTTCCGGGCTCGAATGTTCACAGAGAATTATTCACGGTACTCATCAGCCCGCGCTGGAGAAATGTCGACTAAAAACTAATGATTAACTGCGGGCGGGGCCATTACTCACTCGTGAAGAGCAGAAAGAAAATACAGACAGACTCTATCTCTCCAACGAAATCCAGGAGATGACCAGAAAAATAAGCATTGAAGAGAGAATTTTGTTGTACAAAACCACTATATAACACGGAGAGAGAACCCTATACAGAAAGGGGATCAAAGAAGAATGTTTGCTGTACAGAGAAAAATGCGTTAATTGCAGATAAGAACATTGTAGATCGAGAGAGAGAGAGAGAGAGTCCGCGGAACAATTGAAAAGTTGGGCCAAATTTAATGACCATAAGAAACCTTGAAAATTCGACTGTAAGGGTTGTTCGCTGATTTTTTTCGTCGGTAAGAAAAGTTTAACTCGCATCAGACGAAATAATAGGGAATCGTCGACGGATTAACCGCTGGAAATTCCAGCAATTATGAAGTTTTTATTCATTTATTTATTTTATTTTTTTTTAACTTTGGAGGGGTCCACTCAGCGTAATCGCGTATACGAGTACAGTATCTGTAATTACTCGTACACGGGTGGACTCTCTCCTACAATATTGCCTATATATACATACCTCACAAAGATTTTCGCTGAATGTACTGTACACAGTTCAGTACAAATATTGTTTTCGGAATTCCCAGCGTAGGGTTTTCTCCCCATGTCATATATGGGGAGAATTCTTTTTCTCCTGTCATATATATAGAGGGCTCTCAACAACTACGTTATTATTTCTACGTAAATGTTTTTCAGGTGGTCCTTGAATATTTCGTCGCGTATATGGCGAGTCCAGCACCTGTATTTATGACTATATTTATACAGTACTTATGTACAGTATATATACACTCACAGTAAGCCCGGCGTCGTCTGGTGCCGCAATGCTGTCTGGGGAAAAGATGACACGCACTTCTCTGGTCACTGGATTCGACAGAGTGACAGTGGGCAGGAATCCACGCTCGTCAGCGACGTAAACTGTCGTCATCACAGAGCCGTCAGGCAACTCGACACTGTACTGACCCTCTACGCGGCTTCCCTTGCGGCTTTCCTGCACCGACTTCCGATCATCGGTCACGTCATCGTTGACCTGCATAAAATTTATTATTACTTTATTAATTATTGTTTCTTTTTCTCTTGGAGGAAAGAATGAAAAAAAAAAAATTGGGGGAAAACCTAAGACGCGGCTGATGCTAAACATATTTACAAAGAAGATGCCGTATTTTTCTAATTCAAAATGTGCTGAACACTATACTGCATGATTATATTTCTCTGAAAAAGTCATCAGGATGTGTCTTGGATTTCATCAACTGCATGATGTAGTGTCTGCTGATCAGCATCATCACGTTATTTCAAACAAAAGTCAAACTTGAAAATGAATTCAACCAATCCCCCTAATAATATGTACCAGAGAATAATCCTGACTTCTGTTGACAAGATTTGTTTCAACTGTACCTTTGACTGACGATGGAAACAACACTTGCATCATTTCTCGTTCTGACTGGCATCCCTGCACTGTTAAACTTGAACGCTAAACTGCCTTTTTTGTTTCAATATTCTGGAATATTCTCCCAGAAAATACGAGTATACTGAGTTTTTCTTCGGCACAATCAATCAAATTCTCTGAAATCCTTTCTTTGGCGGCCTAGCTCATCTGCCGTCAAGTCTTTCTTCAGAGTGTCTTGTCGGAAATTGCTGCTCAAATTAAGACGCATTTTTGGCATACATTCTCACAGGAATACGCGATTACACGCATTCGTGCTTGAAGTTGAGAGCATCAGAAAAAAGGAATAAATGAAGTACACGCGGTTGACACGGGTACATCAGAATATAGTTGCCTCGTAAGCGTAGACGTAATGTGGTTCGGCGTAAAAGTCGCCTCCTGCAGTTGGCTGAGTCTGACTCGGCAGACGCTCAAACGAAGATTTCGACACCTGTTATCGATGAAAGAAACATATGCAGTATTTTATAAATATTTTCTCCCAGAGAAACGCAACATTAATAATAGTACTGTATAATCATGACAATAATACTGAACCTTGGCAGCAGGACGAGATCGGTGACCAAATGGCGACACGATGACTTCGTCGTCGTCGTCCGTCCTCCTGGTGATGGTTTGGCGACTCGAGCGCTGGATTTCCTCTGCTGATGAAGATGTCGCTGCAAGCAGATGCCATGGCACTGTGGATGACGATGAGCTGCTCAAGTGTGATGGGTTGAGGCGATTGGCGTTGGATGACCCGCCGAGTGCCAGGATAATGGCAGCCAACAGCAGGACGAGACAGAAACTGATTGTCTACAGGTAAATATACGTCATACTCAGTTGAGTATACCAGTGTTCCCCAACCTTTTTTGGCCAGCGGACCAGTTAATTTCCATAATTTTTTTTTGCGGACCAGCAACTCCGCGGAACAATTGAAGGTTTCATAGAATTTTTGCAGACTCACAAAAATTTTGCTTGGAAGATTTTATGGAAGGTATTTAAAAGTTTCTGCTTTTTTTGAAAAAAATTGATTCAAGTACTGTACTATACCACTGAAGCAGCTATGTCACCAAAGAATTTACAAGGTGGGCTCAAAGAAAGGTTTCTCAGAATGGAAAATTAATATAATTTATTTCTGCAGGTGAAAATTTGTCTGAAGTGTTGTTAGGAGAAAAGGCAACTTTATTTCCATTGAATAATTTCAACTGTCATTGTTCTTCTGAAATTCTAGGCAAAAATAACACACTAAATCCCTCATTTTGATGAATTTATTTTGCTAAAAATTTTCTGCGGACCAGAAAAAAAACTTCTGCAGACCGGAAAAAAATTAGGATAAAAAATAGAACCAATTTTGAATAACGGCCAGAAAACATTTTAGAGTTAAATTCACCCAAAAGACCTAAACCAGGTGAAATATGGCAATTGCTGACAAAATAACACATCAATAATTTAGAGTAATATAAAATCAGAATTGATGGGCAATTTAATCCGGGTTCAATTTACATTGACTTTTAAATAGACCACGCAAAGATATTTTTCAAAATTATGAGAAAAAAACAACAGAAATTTTGAACTTTCAGAAAATTTGCTTTACCTAAATTAGTTAAAAGAGTTGAACCACCTGAAATGTGTCAATTGAAAATTTATAACATCAATAATATAATATTAATATCAGAATTGACGAGCAATTGAATTTGGATTCAATTTAAGTTGACTTAATTGATTATACCATGCACATGTATTTTCCAAAATTGGGAGCATAGAAAGCAAAATGGAAGAAATTTTGGTTCAAAGCTAAATTCGCTCAAAAGAATACAACCACCTGAAAGATGGCAAATGAAAATACAGGGAACATCAAGGTTAAAATATAAATAACAGCATCCAGTTCAATTTAAGTCTATAAATTCAATCTTATATGAACAATTAAAAATCACAAAAGAGTAAAATTGGTTATTTTCTGGGGTTTGAACTTTGTACAAATGATTTGACAGCATGCAGCATTTGAAGGCAAGGATAAATTGTCTCAATTCAAGTCCTTCACTTTCTTAAAAAAATAGCAAGTTACAATTTTATTCCTCTTCTTGTTTGTGGGCCACCAGGGTAAAATTCTAATGGTTTCCAAAAACTTAAATTGTACAGACACTTCATGGGAAAAGTCATTGAGTTTCAATTCTCTATATATTAAAATATTATTGAGGAAATTCAAACAGGGACTCAAAAAAATGGGCACAAGGAACTATTCTTTCTTATTCCAGGGGTTTGGGTATATTAATGAGGTTGGACCGTAGGAAAAGACGCAACTTTTTCATTGTCGATTTTTTTCTAAAACTCACATGCATGTTGAGAGGATGAGATGAAGATATGTTTTTTTTCCTCAAGAAAAACTTGGTATTTTCTTCTTTTATTTTCCTCAGAAAATAACTCCTTGTCTTATTCTTGTGGAAGACAACTTTTGCTGGGACGTAGCAGCAGTGGACTGATGATCCATCGTCAGATGTCTGACTTTAAATACCCTGACGTCGGTGACGAGTCTGACGACTGCATGCTGACGAGTCGTGATTCCGACTCATGACACGAACAACGA